GAGCAGGCACCACTAGCACTATCGGGAAGGCTCCATCTATTGGTGGGGAGCAGCACCGGCTGGAAATCGGGTCCACCGTCCCTGAACATTGTGGTTGTGTGTATGAATGGACATGTGATTGTAGCCGTAACAGTTAAGATAAACCCTTAAGCCCTAGTGACTGTCCTTCTTCCTATTGCCCGGGGTGCAGTCTTGTGGACTGCTGTGACAGTTTGAGGTGTATTGTGTAACTGTGGAGGTAGTGTGGGGTGGCATTCACCAGCCCCAGTCCCCTCCCTCCCCAAACCCAAGATGTGTTGTGCAGTGTTATGACAATGTGAGGTGTGTTGTATAAGCATGAAGCTGATGTGGGGTGGCTTCAACCACCCCCTATTCCCTCCCTCCCAATCCCATCATGTGTCATTAAGGTATCATTGTATTATCATTATTATCATTATTGTGACCACCTGTGTTCCCTTGTGTTAATCTTGCCTACATTGTCTTCTAGATTCTGACAGTAATTGTGGAACTGATGTGCGGTGGCTTCCACCACCCCCTGTCCCCTCCCTCCCAAAATCCATAATGTCTTGTGCAGTGCTGTGACAACGTGAGGTGTATTGTGTAAGTATGAGACTGATGTCGGGTGGCTTCCGCCACCCCCAATTCCCTCCCTCCCAAAACCAATGATGTATGTTACCATCTAAGGGTCATCCTACCCAGATACACATCTCATTGAGTCACTGAGTTGTCATTGTAGTATTAGCCTGGCAGATCTCTATCTCTATTATTGTGTCCACCTGTGGTGACATTGCATTATCGATCTGTCTAAACGCCATTTCCATTGTTGAATCCACCTACGTCAGGCTTTCAAATGCGTGGCGCAGTCTGTTGTCCACGAACTGTATCACCATTAGCCTTCTGTCTGTTGTCGTCTGAAACTCCTCCCAGTTGATCTTGATCCATTGTCCGGCCGTGAGTGGTGGCTTCGTCTTTTATCTCCAAGGCATACGCCCTTATGCTTCTGCTGTGGTGGGATGTCCCTTCTTGACCAGCCATCTGCGAACCGAGTTGGGGGTGGATATGGATGGAAGCGGAGGACTGTGGGTTAGGAGTGGAGAAAGGTTCGGGTGAAGGTTTTGGGTAGGGTTTGGATAGGGACATGAGGGGGGCAATTGGGGAATGGAGCGGATCCCGATGTGTAAAGGGTTATTGTCAGTGCGGGAGGAGGATGAAATTGGTCGGCTGAAATGGGAACTGAAAGTGACTTCTTGGTAAGTGTTCCCATTGTGGTTCTGTCAACATCCACTGTTTCCATCGCAACTGGTTGTCTTGATCCAGTTCGCACAGTTTCCCAGCATTGTCTACCCAGATAGAGCGAAAGTTATCAGAGAGTTCATTCCGTTTAGTGGTATCTTCTGAAGCACTCTTCTGAGCTCTTGCCAGGCCGCATGTGTATTTGCGGTGATTGTTTCTAAGATCGAGGCTCGTGCCTCCATGTAGCCATATGTGAACTTCTTGTGCTCATGCGCACACCTCATCCGCCACGCAACCATTAACATTCATTCATTCATTCATTCATTCGATTTTGCTTCTTTTTTTTTGTTGATTGATTGATTGATTGATTGACTGACTGATTGGTGGGGGAGGGGTCGCCCCACCCCCCCGCCACCAACCACGCGCACGCGCACACACACACACACACACACACACACACACACACACACACACACACACACACACACACACAAACAGCCATTTCGTCAAAACGGACATATTATATTTTTTGAACGTAATCAAAACTGACTTTTTTTGCCAAAATCCGGTCGGATTTTTTTGCTCCTGGGGGTCCGGCGTTCCCACA